ACTTTGGCTATTGTTGATAGTGCTGCTATAAACATTGGGGTGCATGTGCCCCTTCGAAACAGCATACCCGTATCCCTTGGATAAATACCTAGTAGTTCAATTCTGGATCATAAGGTAGTTCTATTTTTAATTTTTTGAGGAACTTCCAAACTGTTTTCCAGAGTGGCTGCACCAGTTCGCATTCCCACCAACAATGCAAAAGTATTGCCCTTTCTCCACATCCTTGCCAACATCTGTTGTTTCTTGAGTTGTTCATTTTAGCCATTCTGACATGTGTGAGGTGGTATCTCATTGTGGGTTTGATTTGTATTTCCCCAATGATGAGTGATGTTGAGCATCTTTTCATGTGTCTGTTAGTCATCTGGATGTCTTCTTTTGAAAACTGTCTATTTATGTCTTTTGCCCATTTCTTCACTGGATTATTTGTTTTTTTTTTTTTTTTGGCTGTTGAGTTTGATAAGTTCTTTATAGATTTTGGATACTAACCCTTTATTTGATATGTTGTTTGCAAATATCTTCTCCCATTCTGTCGGTTGCCTTTTAGTTTTGTTGGTTGTTTCCTTTGCTCTTCAGAAGTTTTTACCTTAGTGAGGTCCCAATAGTTCATTTTTTGCTTTTGTTTCCCTTGCCTCTGGAGACATGTCAAGTAAGAAGCTGCTGCAGCCAAGGTCAAAGAGGTTGTTGCTTATTTTCTCCTCTAGGATTTTGATGGCTTCCTGTCTTATGTTTAGGTCTTTTATCCACTTTATTTTGTGTATGGTGTAAGAAAGTGGTCCAGGTTCAACCTTCTGCATGTCACTGTCCAGTGAAATTACATTGATTTCCCCTAGAAGTCAAACTATGAAGCACTTTATAGTTCAAAACTAAGCAGGCGGGGGGATTTGTGGTATTTCTGAAGAGCAAGGTTGGCCCAGTTGGGCAGGGCTTAGTGTAATGGCTCCATTCTCCACTAGATGGCACTGCTAACCTACTGGGGTGGATTGTTATGGTGCTGGTAGGTGTGTATGCGCATGTGCGGGAGGGTTAAAAATGGCGTCACCCAGGTGCCCAGTCTCTAGTATTGGAACTCTGTGCTCTCCCTGACCAGCAATCGCGCACTTGTCCTTTGTCTCCAGCTTCTGTCCACTCCCCGCTACGACACTGTCTGCGACCAAGCTGTCGCAGGCGGCAGGCGGCCAGGCGGCAGGCACCTCCTTCCTGAGTTTTATCTCCGATGCGGCTGTGTTTCCCGACCCGTCACTTCTGAGGGACTGTGGCTTTGACCCACTCAGATCCTGTGGGAGAGGGTCTCACTGAGCAATGGCTGGCTGCCGGCTGCACCCGGGAACATTCGCAGGACTGTGCTGCTGCCGATGCCCAGAGACTGTCACTGGGCGCTAGCACACCCCAGAAAAAGTTCACGCGATCGTATAGCAGCAGCGTTTCAGGGATTATGGCAAATCACAACACACATCTGGCACCAGCCTTCACCCCCAACGACCTTGTTCCAACACCAGCGAATGTGGTTGTACTCTGGGGTCTGCTGGCACCGGGTGGCCACAGAGCCTCTACCAGATGTCCTTCCAGCAGTGGAACCGCTTTTTCCCGTGTGGCGGAGAGCCTCCCGGACCCCACTCTGCTCCTGGGGATTCGCCCTTCCCACCAGAGCACCAGAGCCAGGTATCGAGCTGTGGAGTGGCAGACTCTGCGCTTTCCCTGTTTATAGAGTCTTAATGGAATTTAAACCCTCTCCTTTCTCCTTTCTCCCTTTTTAGTTAAGTCCCTGCGGCTGTTTCCACTTTCCCAATTTCTCTCCAGCTGCTTTGGGAGGGTGCTTTTCCCGAACTCCCCCCCCCATCTCTGTACTCTCTTCGCAAGCAAAAACAGTTCCCTGCCCTCTGCAACTTTTCTCTCCCCTAGTTCACCTGTCTGCGCCGCGTACCTGCTTAGTTCTGTGGTTCAGATTGTGCAAATTGTTGCGTTAATCCTCAAATCAGTTTTCTAGGTGTGCAGGATTGTTTAGTGTTAATCTGGTTGTATTTCGAGGAGGAGAGATGCAAAAAAACCTTCCATGCTGTTCCTCCATCTTGGCTTCTCCCCCTCCCACCCCCCTTTTTTTAAAGGGATAGAAGCACTGTGTCAGGTAGGGAATAGAAGTCCTCCAAAACTCCCAAATCCCTACAAAGGCTTGCGTTTCTTTTATCTTCTTAGGGGTTGGGTAGGCTTGTATGTTAGTAATCAAAGCTTCTGGAACAACATTTCCTGACCAAATAATTCCTCAAAACTTTATGGCATTATCTGCACCTTGAATGTTTTGTGAATTCATCTTTTCCCTTGCAGATGTTCCAACAAATCTGCAGAGGGTCCTGCAGCGGAGGTGAATGTTCACATGTTAACATTATAACATCAATGTAATGGACCCATTTTACTGTTGTGGGGAAAGAGAACAGGGACAAGTCTCATGTTGCCATCCCATGGCATATTGGAGGGCTCTGCAGGTAGCCTTGGAGAAGTACTTGGAAGATCCATTGTTGCCTCTTCCCATGTGAAGGCAAGTTGATCTTGTGACTCTGTAGCAAGGGATGTATGGAAAAAAGCATTTGCTAAGTCCAGTACAGCATGGCACACTCCTAGGACCATGGCCAAAGTATCTAAAGCAGTGGCAATGTTGGGCACAGCCACATGCATGGGTGACATTATCTCATTCATTTCTTGGTAGGTCACGGTCATCTGCCATGGGCCTTTGGCTTTTTTATTGGTCATACTGGGCTGCTGAAAGCACTATGGGCAAAGCATGTAATACCCATTTGGTGCAGCTTTTAGAGTTTTTCCTATTTCCTTATGCTCCTAGGTAATCTATACTGTTTGACCATTACCATTTTTCTCAGGGGTAGTAGACTTATTAGTTTCCAGCTGGCATTTCTGCTTAGTACTGGTTTGATTATTCTAACCCAGAGGTGGAATTCACTGATGTAGGTTTGTAGAGTTTGACCTTGTGGGATAAGCCCAATATATTCTTTGGTATTGAAGAGACACCGGTTCTCCTGGACCGTTTTGACCATAATTATTTGCACTCCCTAACCATTGATGACACTGAGGGGGCCACAAAACTTCTAAGGGTTACCATGTATGAGAGTACCTTTGGCTTCAGTATCAGCCCGAACTGTCATCTTTTGTTTATTTCTGGGGGACTAGTAAATAGTGAATCCAACATGAGACCTCTGATCGCCTCTAATGGTTCTCACCTAGAGGCAGTCTTGGCTTGTATTTTATATGTGGGGCATGGGAGGCACCCACTCTGAATAGGATTGTATCCCTGGAGCCTCTGTTGAAACAGGTAGGGCATCAGGGATCGTAGGACCAGGTAGGGCAGGCCTGAACTGTTGTTCAGATTTTAAGATTTTCCATAGGTCAAACCAACATAACATTGGGTTGCTGGTTTCTCTCTCTAGGTGGGGTCTTGGCAACAAGGAGATCAAACCATATTTTTTCTTGGTTACTTTTATCACACTTTTTTTTTTTTTAACATTTATTTATTTTGAGAGAGAGAGAGAGAGAGCACATGCATGCACATGAGTGGCGGGGAGGGGGACAAAGAGAGAGAGAGGAGAGAGAGAATCTGCTCTAACAGAGCAGAGTCTGATGCAGGACTCTATCCCATGAACCATGAGATCATGACCTGAGCCAATATCAAGAGTCAGACTCTCAACCAACTGAGCCACCCAGGTACCCCTTTTGTCACACTCTGTACAGCTGATTGGGATAGCCTTTTGGTGTTCTGAGCTCTCTCTGTCTCGGGTCTTTCCCTTTCCCACAGCCCATACCAGTTTCTGGGATTTGCCAGTTTCCCCCAGATCAGCAAAAGATTGCCCAACATCACAAATGACTTGTCCCTCGACTGGGTTCAGCATGGATATTAGTGTCCCCTAGCAGGTGCCGGGGACAAACTGGAGTATCTTGGTTTTCATTTCTGCAGTGAATGTGGCCCAATCAGGGTTTTCAAAGACAGGGGCATAGATTGCCTGTCTCATTTCCAACTCCCTAAGAATTTGTTGTACCGCCACTATAGATGTGCAGGGTCCCACGTGCCAGGGGGATCCTCTCCCTGGACCAAGCCTAGAATAATCCAAACTATAAGGGAGGATATCCCCTGGATCCCTCGAGCACCATGCAGATGCTGCTGGAGGGCAGGGTGCATGGTGATGTTGCTTTGCCTCCTGTCCAGAGAAATGCATCGTCCCCCATATCCCACAGCTGCACTAACCATGCCTGGATATTTTCTCCTGCCTCTTGTGGAACTTGGTAGCCATATCAATAAGCTCAGCGGGAGTATTTTCTCTCATCATGGACATTTCCTGCACTGGGGGCTGCCCTGCTGGCCGGGGTTGCTATTGTGGTGCTTTTGTTTCCTTTGTTTTGGGAGTCAGTCAGCACTGGGTGTTTCATCCACTTCAGTGTCAGTCACCACAACATCCTCCTCTTGGCTCTCCTCACTTTCTAGGAGATTCCACGCCTTAGTGTCCTACTCAGGCTTTGTCCACAGCACTTGAACCTTGATCCGAGGCAGCTTGTGCCCACCCAGCTTTGCAAAAAGGAAGGTTGAGGTCTCCAGCTTATGCCCCTTTCCTGTCAGCCCTGAAGGTAGAAGGCATCCTTCCCTCACCTCCGCTCTCCTTCCAACCTCCTAACTTGAGCATCAGTCTCTGGTCAGGCTTGGGTGGCCAGCCCTCCACGCAGCCTCATGCTTCCCTTCTCTGCGGCCGTGCACTCTTCCCAGTTCCTCCAACAGGCGCACCAGACCAGCCGGCCTTCTCTGGGCGGCCCTGTACAAAGGCGGCCATCCACAAGCCAGTTGCCCACAAGCTGGCATTTCCCCACAGGTGCCCCTCTGCCAAGGCCCCTTTCTTTTGTCTCCTGGCTGACTCGCCAGTGTTAGTTTGTACCCTCAGGAGCCCCCCGGGTGAAATCTGAAGCTGACTCCCCTACAGGGATAGCAGGGAGGGACCAAATAAAGAGGTAGACTGCTCCAGATCGATAGGTGGCAGGTTTAATAAGCAAAGGAATTTAATTATGAGGCTTGTCTTGGATGGCTGTGAGACCAGCAGATTTCCACATCTACCAGACAGAATCTTAAAAGTTTATACAGAGGCCTTAACTGGGTGCAGTCACGTAAGCTGTCCAGACGGTCTCAACAACATGCTGCTCTCTCAAGAGCTCCCTGTAGCTCCCGGTGAGGCAGGCAGGTGGAACGCACATGTCAAGGACAAGGGAGTGGGGGAGGAGCCTCTGATTGCCTGGGTCCAGCTTGGGGGTCCACTTACGAGACAGAGGGGTGTATGGAAACATGGGGTATGCTGATAGCCTAAAAATACCTGACCACTTCATGAACATGGAAAAATTAATAATGATGCTGGAGTGATATTGATATTGCAGAGGTTCTTACTGACCTTTCTCCTACGGAGTGCTTCCCCCCCCCCCCAAAAAGCTTTATTAAGGTACAGTGGACAAATAAACATTGTATATATTTAAGGTGTACAATTTGATGTTTTAATATATGTATATGTTATGAAATGATCACCACAGTCAAGCTAATTAACATTCCCATCACCTCAGGTAGTTACCATTTCCCCTTCTTCCTCTTCCTGTTCCTCCTCCTCCTCCTTCTCCTCCCTTGTCTTTTTGGTGTGTAGGGGCTGAAAATTTTTCCCTTCTTCCTTTCTAGGTTCTTTTGCTGGTCTGATAACTAAGTTGACAGAAGACAGATTAACAGGAGAAAATCAGATATAATTTCATATGTCCGGGGGCCTCAAATTATAAGATTTAAGGGCAAGTCAGCAGTTGAGGCTTATATGCCATCCTGAGCTAAGGAATTGGATGGGCCTGCAGCTTCAGAGGAAAGGAGGGTCATTCACAGGATGGTAAGAAGGGCTGATGTTTGATAGTCTCATTGTGCTTCTACACAGCTAGGCCCTTCAGGTAAAACGTTATCTCAGGTAATAGCTCTCTTTCAGAGCCAGGCCTCCAAATCTAAAATCTTCTAGGTAGTTAAGGGAGAGGTGAAAGTTTTTCTTGAGGGTGCTTGGTCTTGATGGCCTTCAGCTCAAAGTAATCCATATGCTGAGTGGTATATTTTGGAGTCTTGTATTCTGCACTCCCTCGGATGAGAGTACTTAAGATCCACTCCTTAGCAAATTTCACACATACAATACAGTATTGTTAACTCCATTACTCCATTACATTAGATCTCCAGGATTTATTCATCTGCAAAACTGAAACTTAGCGCCCTTTGACCCATAGCACCCCATTAACCCTCTCCCCACCCCCTGGCAACCACCATTCTATCTCTGCTTCTATGGGCTTGACTATTTTAGATTACACATCTAAGTGAGATCACGCAGCATTTGTCTTTCTGTGTCTGGCTTATTACCCTTAGCATATCTTCTAGGTTCATCCATGTTGTTGCGAATGGCAGGATTTCCTTCTTTTGTAAGGCTTAATAACATTCCATTGTATATATACCATATTCTCTTCATCCATTCATCTGTTGGTGGGCATTTAGGTTGTTTCCACATCTTGGCTACTGTGAATAATGCTTCAGTGAACCTAGGAGTGTAGATACAGTGCCAAGGTGTTCTTCACATGGGCTATATGAATTTACCCCTCTACAAGAATATATGAAAATACCTTATTTCCCTCACCCTCAATAAACTTTCACATTCTTGCCTGTATGATAGGTGAAATATAGTATTCCATTATAGTTTTAGTATGTGTGTGTGTGTGTGTGTGTGTGTGTGTGTGTGTGTGTGTGTATTTTAGGAGAGAGAGTAAGCACAAATGTGGAAGAGGGGCAGAGGGAGAGAGAGAGACTCTTCAGTAGGCTCCACACTCAACATGGAGCCTGATGCAGGGCTCATTCTTACGACCCTGGGATCATGACCTGAGCTGAAATCAAAGCTGAGCCACCACCCAGGTGCCCCTTCATTTCCGTTTTAAAAAAGTTATGAGTGCGATTGAACATCTTTTTATGTTTACAATTATTTGCCTTTTATTTTCTGTGAACTGTTAATGCCTCTTGCCATTTTCTATTGGGTTGTTAATCTTTTTCTTACTGGTTTGATTTTTAGATATTCAGGAAATTAGTTCTTTGTCATTCACGTGGGAAGTATTCCCTCAGTTTGTTGTCTTTGGGCTCTTTTTATGCTATTCTATGCTGTGTAAAATTTTAGGGTTTTTTATGTAGTCAGATTTATCAGTTGTATCAGCTAGGACTGTATTCAACTACAGGAAATAAAAAACCACTAACAATGGCTTGAATAGATGGGAGAGTATTTGTTTCATGCAACACGCAGGGAAAAATTTGTGCTTCAGTGGAAAACTGCATTGTCTAGAGCACACTTTTCTGGGTTATCCGATTCTAATAGCTAAGTTTTAGATAACTGATAGCA